CCCTAACAGGTGCTACCTTCCCGGGTCAGGGTGGACCTGGAAACACCAGCAACTAAGAGATGGTTCCACGCTCCTCAAAACCTCCTGATCAGAGGCCTTGCTGTTGGACGTAGTTTATCGTTTTACCCAGGACGCAGTTGTAGTTTATCGTTTTACCCAGGATGTGCATGTAGTTTATCGTCATACCTAGAACGTTATACACACACAAGGATATATGTTACAGAGATTATACACATCAGGGATACAAGTTAAAGAGATTTCAAATATGTGTATAATGAAAGAGAGGCTATAGGACGCTAGCGGCTATTTCTATTAAAAAAGTACACGAACTTTTAATCATAAAAAGGGGGTGAAGTGATAAAAACGTGAACAACTTGAACGAGTACCCTCTCAATTTCTCAAGTGTACACAAAGAAAAGAGTGATTATCTGCTATGTGATATTAAGCTTCGATATACAGAAGCAAATGTTGGACAATTTACAGAGACTAAATGTAACGGAGATGCGATTCTACATAAGGATGCTGTATGCCATGGAAGGAACATGTGAGAAACGAGGAAGTTTTAAAGGAAATGGAAACAAAAAGGACACGTACTTCTAATCAGAAAGAGACAGTTGGAACTTCTAGAGCACATAATGAGACAAAAAGGCTTAGAAAATTTAACACTCACAGGAAATATTGAGGATGAGCGGGAAACGGCCAGGGAGATTAGAAGCTTTTGTAAATGAATGGCAGAAAAGGGAATGGAAAGAACTAAACAAGGGAAAACGTTGTCAAGAGCTACAAATGAGAGGAAGTAGTGAAGAGCCATGACCCCACCCACACGACCTGAAATGGAATGGCACATAGAAAAAGAAGACCCACATGAGTACGCGAGCTCTGGTTTGAGACACCATTGTTTTGATAGTAACTCGTTTAAGTGGTCATAGTTGGGTTCCAAAAAACAGGATTATGCATGCTGATTTTTAGCGGCACGGATTGAGGAATCGGAGAGCCGAGTTCGAATTCCAATCAAATCCGTTACATTCAATTACGCACTAATACCCTCAGGAAAGGTATGAATGGTCTTCTCCCACCAGCTATGGGCGTGTAGCAGGACAGACCGGGTTCTATAGACTTTGATGGCAACTGGTCTACCGAAAAAAAAATGGCAACCTCCTGCGGAAAAAAATCTGCCTCTTCAATCATGTATCGAAAGATACCTGATCGCCTAAACGTGTATCCCGCATAACACATAACTGACTGACTTTCAACTATTTTCAACGTCGGTCTTCGTCTAGATCCGGGTTCTTATGGCCGCTGTTACAAGTTACTCAGGTTCGCTTCTTAGATTTCCCTTATGGTTTCATTGAAATTCTTTCTTTTTTAATCGAGATAACCCCAAGCAAGGCAGTAAAGCCACTAAGACACAAGGTTCCTGGGAGTGGAAGAATTAGAAAACAGAAAGATTACTAAGGAGCGAGAACAAAGAAGATTAATCAAGAGTCTGAATGCAATTTACAATGAATTTAAATTTTTGAAGATTAAATTTGCCTGGAAAGCATAGAGCTAAAAGAGAGTCTGTCTATATTTCTGAGATGAGGCATTATGCACATTATTCACACTATTCGGACTCAAGGACACATGGCACAGTGGATAAAGGCGTTGGTTAGATCCAGTGACAGGACCCAAAGAGTGTGAGTTCAATACTCGGTTAAGGCAATGGAGAACTTTCAGAGGGAATTTAGCAGGAGATAACGGATAACTGACATCCATCAAACATGGCACGTGGAACTAGAACAGTCTACCCCAGTGAGCGAAATAAAGGGTTCAGTTCGACACTCCAACCACCTGAAGAAGGCCGGAGCGTACAACGGCCGAAACGTTGTGATAAATATGGCGACAAAGATGAGGACAATAGTCCGAATAATGTGAATAATGAGCTAGAAGAGAGTTCCACAAGCGAAAGGTGCGAGAAAAGAAACCATTAGGATAGAAGTTACGATTAAATCTGGTGTATCCATAGAGTTGTTTACCTTTCCCTTTGTAGAAATCTCATATCTGTTCTTCTTTTAATCATTGTTGTTGCTGTTGTTCATCCATTGTGTTTATATCAGTAGTACATCCTCTTCTTCTCCCCCACGCAGCTATGGGTAAATAGCAGGACAGACCGGCAAAGAAATAGCAACCTCCTTCGGGTCAATCTGCCTCATCAGTCATGTATCGAAAGATACATGATCGTCTAAGAGTGTGTCACGCATGGCACATAACTAACTGACCTTCAACTATGTCGGTCTTTGTCTTGATCCGGGTTTTATGGCCGCTGTTACGAGCAACTGAGATTCGCTCCTTAGATTCCCCTTATGATTTCTTTGAAATTCTTGGGGTAAATTTTGGATGGATAGCTGTTGATCCTGAGGACTTCATTCACCCTTTAATAGATCCCCTTTTTTTCTGCTGCTGGGGTCGCATTTACCCTCCTCACTAGACCAGTGTCTGCTGAGGGAGCTGCTTCAGCTGCCGAAAACTTGACCCCTCAGGTTTTGAATTCAAACTTGTCCTTCTCCTAGAACGATTACCACACAAGGCTATAAGACCCAGTCTATACTCCCTAAACCGGAGGAATAGATGGATACAAACATTTCCCAAGGGTATTTACATGTAAGTGATGGAACGAACTCAACTGAAATTCGAACTCGGCTCTCCGATTCCTCAATTCTAGCCGCTATCCATTATTCTACCATACCTTCAAGGAGGTACGGTGGAGTAATGGATTGAGGAATCGGAGAGCCGAATTCGAAACCATTACATTCACTTACCTGCTAATACCCTTGGGAAAGGTATGAATCCTCTTCTCCCTACTGGATTGGATTTCCGGTTCCTTCTAACGTCTCCTCGTTCTCTTTCATTCCCTGTACCAACTCGTGCGTCTTAGTTGCATTATCTCCTTGTTTAGGGTAAATTGGTTTAAAAAAAAAAACGGACTGACAACCGCCTCTACTCTGAAATAATGGTGGAACGAAATCTTTTCTTGAAGTCTGTAGCAAAATAAACAGAACTTTAAAAAGTATGTATTTGATTGAGATAGAAAGGTGAAAAGAAAATGGTATGCGCTGAAAAGAAAATGGTATGCGCCGAAAAGAAAATGGTATGCGTCGAAAAGAAAGTGGTATGCGTCGAAAAGAAAGTGGTATGCGTCAAAAAGAAAATGGTATACGCCGAAAAGAAAATGGAATGCGTCGAAAAGAAAATGGAATGCGTCGAAAGAAAATGGTATGCGTCGAAAAGAAAATGGTATACACCGAAAAGAATCGCCTAACAGAGATTTTGGAAAAACGTCGTTATTTTCATGATTTAATCCACTAATAAATTCCATTTAACCCCTTTCCCATACCTAAGTCTGTCTACCTTCTTTCGTGGCGTGTATCAGCCATTCGTGCCCGTCGTCTTATCCAACCTCCGGCGGGCGCTACTCACTCGGATGTCGAGAAATCTACCTAACAACTCAGATAATTGGTATTGAATATATGTGTTGAAAGCCTCATCATGTGGTCTTCACTTATACTTGCATGTCCCAGCTCGTCAGGGGAAACTCACCAGTAAGTCCGACTCGCGATTAAACCAGTTGACGTTTGTTGGTTGCTGGTTTGGTTAAAAGCCGATAGTGTCCCCCTTCCTGCATATGAAAATCACTGAACCGCACCGGAGTCGGGCGAAAAATACAAGTTCGATAGACAACAAGCATTATTTTACATGAAAGATTTATTTCTACTGTTCATTGAGTGTTAGACCCATGGTGAGAAAGTAGGCCCGGAAACAACGAGGCCGACAGTCCTTGTATTTACTTCTACTGTCACATATGATCTGGTGTTTCTGCTATGTATTTAAAGATTATAAAAGCCAAACAAGAATTTGTAATGTTATCGGTCCTGATCTGGCATCTCGGCTTCAGTCACTCTGTCATCCCCGTAACGTAGCTACCCTTTGCCTTTTCTATGACTATTTTCATGATAATCGTGCCGATAAGCTTTCTTCTTTGGTAGCTCGTCTTAAGGAATTTAAGCGCGTTACTAGATTGGCCGTTAGGTCATTTTACAGTTAAAATGGCTAGATGTAACCGTAGATTCTATGCTTATATTTTCTTCTCTCGAACTTCTCGCTTGTAAAACTCTCTTCCAGCCTCTACCTTTCCATCCAACTTTGATGTTGAAAAACTTAAACACGACGCTGTTACCTTCTGTCTTCTTAACCCTGTGTTAGTCACAATGGATGTTTTGTTATACCCAAATTATTAAATATACTCGTAATTCCTATTTAGCAAGTTGTCTTTTTTGCACCCTCACACTAGTCTCCTGAATCAGTGAGGGTGTATAGCATGCGTTTTGGCGCAATTGTAGCTCGGTTGTCGTGGGATGTAGACGCCAGAGAACTAACCGTTTTCGGAAATCTGAGGTGACTAACGCCGTTAATTTCTGTTCTTTTATTGTTCGCCAGCGTTAATAATGTATTTTCTTTATCTCATATTCATTTACACTGAGTAACCACTTGTGTCTTAGCGACTTTAAGGCCTTACTTCGAGTGAGATTTTTTTAAAAAAAAGGGGTTGATATCGCTCATAGTTTTACTGGTTCTTACACGCCACAGCACTGGGAATCGGTAACAAGGATAAAGGAGTTCAAATCGCGTCAGCGACAACTTCTGTATTTCATGTGCGAAGAGTTTACTTACCGGTCGGAAAAGATCAAATATATCTGAGCGTATATATAAACAAAGAAATAAAATGAAAGAAAAAACAAATAATAGAAGAAATAATGGCTATGATTCATCTAAGAAAATCGAACGAATGTTTTTTTTTTTTAATCTATTAATCATAAATACAAACGCCTATAGATATTAATATCGACCAATGCAACATAAAGTGTTAAGGCGAAAATCGAGAAAATGCAGAAAATCGACAAATGCAACGAAACCGATTGCGCTAAAGAGAAAATAGATAAAATATACTCAAACGAAATGTTTGCCTTAAGGTGAAAATAGAAAAAATACAGAATGTTCTTAAAGTGCCATAAAACAAAATATGGAAAATACAGAATATGGACAAATGTTCTCGAAATGATTGCCTTAAGGCAATAAAATAAATAAAATAAAGGATATCGACAAATGTTCTCAAAGTGATTGCCTTACGACAAAAAAAAAAATAGAGAAAATAAAGAATATTGACAAATCTTCTGGAAATGATTGCCTTAAGGCAAAAAACAGAAAATACAGGATATCGACAAATTTTCTTGAAGTGATTGCCTTAAGGCAAAAGAATAGAGAAAATAAAGAATATTGACAAATCTTCTGGAAATGATTGCCTTAAGGCAAAAAACAGAAGATACAGGATATCGACAAATTTTCTTGAAGTGATTGCCTTAAGGCAAAAGAATAGAGAAAATAAAGAATATTGACAAATCTTCTGGAAATGATTGCCTTAAGGCAAAAAACAGAAGATACAGGATATCGACAAATTTTCTCGAAGTGATTGCCTTAAGGCAAAAGATAGAGAAAATACAGGATTTCGACTAATGTTCTCGAAGTGATTGCCAACCGCATGGAACTGCTAATGATCATAGCAGTTGTTTCCTTATAAGGAAACATTCAGCATTCATTGCTGAAGTAGGCAGTACTACTGTCGATTGAAATTTATAAATTATTTTTCTTAAAAAAATTCTTCAGTGTCTGTTGTCATTATTTCCAGTATTAATGGATGCTTCATTCCTAACCTTTTATTTGAAGTCGTGTGGAATTCCAACATCTTGATTATGTCATTATTTTCTTTTCAAGTTGCATGTGATATCAGTTTTAGTTGGTGCTACTCTTGAAAGTTCTCAAGTGATGTGCTTTTTGTTATTTGGTACGGTTCTTTATTTGTGATTCTGTGGCGCCAGTCGACAAGGTTCAAAGAAGTATGGCTTCACCAAAATCCATTGGCTTCACTCGCTTAAAGGTATTTTAACCATTGGTCTTTGAAAGCGGTTTTATACTGCTGATAGTTTAGATATTTCTTAACAGTTTTTGTCACCATATCGATCTTACGAGGCTATTTAAGATGATTCGATTTTTCAGGTTAATGTTTTGGTTTTGTGGCAATTGGCGGCGTTGGGCGAAACTACGTATAGCACAGCTTATTCTATATTTTATTGCGTTATCGCCAATACTAAATTTTACGTAACCGATCCATACACCAAAAGTAGCTGCATTGTTTGGTATTTACTAAATTCACATCCTGAATTTTTATGATGGTAGCTGCTATCATTCAGTTTGTTTGTTTATTTAGCGGCATATAACAGGTGCTACCACAGCAGATCAGTGTGGAGCTGAGAACAGCAGTTAAGAAGTGGAACCTCGCTCTTCAAAACCTCCCGATCAGAGCCTTGCTGCCAACTGTAGTTTATCGTCATACCCAGTATGGGCCATAATTCGCGGTGGGTACCATCATTTACGGTATGTATATCCCACATGCATAAAAATGGGATGAACACTGACCACCACTACAAGGCGAAAATGTTAAAATATTCTAGAACTTTCTCGTACATAGCGACCGACCGACCGCAAAAGACTTCAGAAAAACATGTGCTACATCATAGATATGATCATCGCGTCTGAAAAAAAATCTCAGAAATCGTATTTGACAGACTTCGAAATACGAAGAGTTTGGAGTAGAAATGTAAAAAAAAAAAATGCGGAGTTGAAAGAAAAAACAGCTATTTCAATAATAATAATGAGATCACTTGGGATCATTACAGGAATACTCATATATACGTTAAGAAAATCACAGTAAATTCCTCACTATCAGGAATACAAAATATTTTATTCCTGAGCGCAATTTGCAAGAAAAACCTTCATTTTTTTTTTTTATCTCAAGCCTCTGATAAAAAAAACAAAAAAAAAACGTGTTAAATGATACTTGGAAACACCGAAGACCGACTTAGCAGACTCGATTATTATACATGAAAGTATTTCCAGTTGGGCCCAACCTACATTGTTATGCACTGCTTCTACCACAGCCTGTGATTACTGCGCACACTTTCGACTCTGATACTAGTGGCCTGTATACTCTTGTCAGACCGATTGTCATGATGGGTGCATTGGGCTTCATATATTTATTTTTTACTTTGTTGGTGTGACAATCTCACGCGATAATAATTTAAAAAATATTTGATATCCTCTATACCAAGTCATTACTGGTGTCTGCGAGATTACTGAGAAGGGCTTTTAAGATTTGCGGATTCTTGTCATTCACTCTCCAGCAATAAGCACCATACATTTGATGTGAATATGCTAATGCATAATTTTATTATTATTATTATTATTAATAATAATAATAATTGGTAGACGATATAAAAATAAACAGAATGATGGCAGTAGTAATAACACCAAAAAGATGTATTGCTCTGCCAGTTGTCTTTTGTTTGAAGCGTTTATTTGTTCTTGACGTACAAGAAGCAAAACGGAAAATCGTGTCGGCCGCCATGGACA